CTAAGATCCGTCTAACATTAGCTACAATATCCCTAGTACCACGACCCCTTCTAAACCAGCCTGGACTTCTGGTAGTTCTCTGCTGATGTGCTGTTCCAGTCATTTTTGGGTAATCTTCAGCAGAATCTTGCTTGCAATGTGAAATAAATGATATTGTTCTATAGTTTCCACACTCTGTTGGGTCACCTTTCTTTGGAATGGGAACAAATATAGATCTCTTCTAGTCAGTTGGCTAAGTGGTTGTTCTCCAGATTTCTTGACACAACTTGGTGAGCACGTCCAGGGCAGCATCTGTTAGCTGAAATATGTCAATTGGTATCCCATCTGTTCCTGGGGCCTTATTTTTTGCTATTTCCTTCAAAGCAGCTTCAGCTTCTTCCTTCATCACCATACGCTCTTGCTCATATGTTGTTTCATTAAATTCTTCTGTGTCTGCAAATTCCTTTCGATATAATGACTCAGTATATTCTTCCCAACTTCTTTTGATACTTCCTGGATCGTTTAATACTCTTCCTAAAGCATCCTTGATAATAGCAACTCGAGGTTTGAATTTGTTCTTCAGTTCCTTGAGCTTAAGAAATGCTGAGCGAGTTCAGCCCTTTTGGTTTTCTGACTCCAGCTCCTTGCACATAGGTCTTTTAAATGTTCATGTCTTCAGGCAAGATGTCACCTGCGTAACACAGGTTATTGATAAGACTTTCTTCTGATGCCCATTCTATTTAACATAATCCAACTTCTCAAATTATTTACTCAGCATACAGACTGGATAATATGGAGGAAAGATACAACCCTGACACAAACTTAACCTGATTTTTAAACTGTGAACTTTGCTCATATTTACTTCTTAGTCTACATACAGATTTCACATGTACAAAGTTAAATGTTCTGACGTTATCATTTTTCTCACAAATTATTATTAGTCACATAATCAAATGCCTTGTTGTGGTGAAGTAAACATCTCTCTGGTATTGTCCGCTTTCAGCCAAGACCCATCTCATATCAGCAGTGATAGCCCTCATTTCATGACCTCTTCTAAATTCAACTTGAATTTCTGGCAACTCTCTGTAGATAGATTGTTTCGCTTTTTAAAAATAGTCTTGAGCTGAATTTTACTTATGTGTGATGTTAATAATGTTGCTTGAGAATTCTTTTAGAATGCACGCAGATATGGATCTTTTCAAATCAGTTGGCCAGGTAGCTAGCTGTCTTCCAGCTTTCTTGGCATAGACTAGTAAGCACATTCAAGGATGCATCTATTTGCTGCAACATGTGGTGTCCCACTACTTCCTGTGGCCTTATTTTTGGCCAGTGCTTTCGGTGCAGCTTTCTTCAGTACTACTATTGGTTCTTATTGATGCTTCTTAAAATTGTTTAGTATCAAGGACTAGCACAGTGACTCTATTCCTTCTGTTTTCTTTCGATGCTTCCTGTATCATTTTGTCCATAGAATCCCTCAGTATTGCAACTCGTGGCTTGAATTTGTTTTAAGTGCTTTCAATTTGAGAAATGCCAAGAGTGTTCTTCATTGTTAGTTTTCTAACTCCAGCTCGTTTTGCACATTTCTGTTTACTACTTTGCTGTCCTTTTGAACAGCCCTTTGAAATCGTCTGTTCATTTCTCTTATTTCATCATTTCTGCCTTTACTTTCCTTAGCTTCTCTACGTTCTAAAGCAAGTTTCTTTAGATTCTTTTCTGACATCCACTTGGGTATTCTCTTTCTTTCCTGTCTTTGTAATGGCATTTTGCTTTCTTTATGGGTGATGCCTTGATATTATCCCACAACTCATCTTGTCTTCAGTCATTTGTGTTCAGTGCATTAAGTCTATTCTTGAGGTGAGTTTTAAATTCAGATGAGATAAATTCAAAATTGTGTTTTAGTTCTTGCAGACGTATTTTCATTTTCTTCAGTTTCTAGAATGATATGTATTCCTTTCTTATTAGCCCATTATGATGGAATGATCTGTGGAGGCAGAAGCGTAGGCTAAGATCCTTTGCCATGGAGTTAAGTCAGTTTTGACTCCAGGTATGTAAATTAACTCTGCTCCAGAGTTAAAGACTGTGATTTTTCAGAAGCAGATTGCCAGACATTTCTTCTGAGGTACCTTTAAGTGCATTTGAACTACTAAACTTTAAGTGATTAGTCAAGGGTTCAACTTCTTGTACCACCTTGGGACTTCCACAAAAGCAGCAAAAATGTGGATCAGGTTGGGAGCCCATGATGTAACCTTGGCTACTAAGTGTATGTTTAATATACTTTTTAAAAGGGATTTCTCTTTTGTCATTCAAGACTTTTATCCTTGTCTCTCTTAAAAATCATTTGTATTCACAGTACTTACCAGCTTTGCATAAGCATACACCAATTATCCCAACCTGACAATATCTCAACATGACAAGAAGTGATATAACATCTAGTGATATACCATCAGATTCCACTGGGTTATACAGACAGACCCTTATAAAGTGTTGGCAGTTGAAAAGCATTTTAAAAACTCTCAAGAAAACCCTTAACTCTGTCAAGTTGGAACTCATAGCTGACACTCTACTAGGCTTTTGGAGGCTTTGAATTGCAGGCAGGAGGTGTCCCATCTTTCTGTCTAGGAGCCTGTGGTGGATTTAAACCACCAGAGAGATGCCGTCTTTGGTTAGCGGCACAAGTCCTTCCAGAATACAAATATAGTCTTGTTCATATAGTTAGGGGCAAAACATGTTATGCACGAGAGTGATAGCTTTCTTTACTTGCTATTCCCATGCCATCTCAATTTATACAACAGATCACTGGGGAGGCTCGGCTCTGTGAGGAGGAATGTGGCATCAGGGTTGATGGAAGACTCATCAACAGCTTGCATTATGCAGATGACACAATCTTGCTTGCCGAAACTGAGGAGGACCTGAAGCATCTGCTGCAGAAGGGCAAGGACTGCAGCCTTCACTATGAGTTGAAGCTCAACATCAATAAAAAAAAACAAAGATTCTCACCACAGGGCTGATTGGCAACATCACGATAGATAGTAAAGAGATTGAAATTATTAACAATGTCAATTTACTTGGCTCCACAGTAATGCTCTTGCTACCAGCAGCCAGGAAATCAAAAGATGAATTAAATTGGGAAAATCTGCTATCAGGGACCTTGCCAGAGTACTGAAGAGCAATGCTGTCAGGCTGGAGACTAAGGTATGCCTGATCCAGGCTATAGTCTTTGCAGTTACTTGCTATGCATAAGAAAGCTGGACAAGGACTAGGGATGATAGAAGAACTGATACCTCTGAGCTATGGTGCTGGAGAAAAGTGTAAAATATACCATGGAGTGCTAGAAGAACAAACAGGTTCATCCTAGAGAGGGTGAAACCAGGCTGCTCCTTAGAGGCAAGGATTCTGAAGCTCTGTCTGACATACTTTGAGGGACCACTCCTTGGAGAGGGGTATCATATTTGGGAGGGTGGAGGAACAGCGCAAGAGAGGAAGACCCTCAATGAGATGGATTGATTTAGTGTCTGTGATAACGGGGGGTGAGTGTGTCAGAGGCCATGAAGTTGGCTCAGCATAGAGCAGGATTCAGAGCTGTTGTATATAGGGTCACTATAAGTTGCAAGCAGCTCGATGGTACTCAACAACAACAACCACCTTCCAACCCCTAAAAGACACTCAGTTTCAAGAAAATAAAAAAAATTTTTTTTCCAAATTATTTTAATGACATCATCTAGGATTGTCAGTGACTCTTGTGAGCTCTCTCATTTGGGGCTTGTTCTCTGAACACCCTTTTCTAAGGCTTTAGCTGAGCTGGGTCACTTCAGCTGTCCTGTCTGCTCTCTTGCTGCCAAGTTAGGCTCATAGGACACAGTAGGGCCCCAAGAGAGCCAGATAGAGCAGTCCGCTTAGGAGCAGGAAGTCAGATAAATTCAGATACTTAGGACCGAAAACTTGCGCTTTTGAGATGGTTTCATTAATCCACCTTTGGTAGTAGAGTACACTAGAGTAGACTCCAGGAAGAGACCTAGCACAGTCTGATCCCCAGCTTACCACTCCTATTTGGATCCACACATGGTCTATATAACATGCCAGAGGTCCTCCAGAATCACCCTAAGGAAGAGAGAAATACCTTGAGTATAATGAAAAGGGACCGTGAAGAAGATAGAGACGGGTCAGAAGGGAAGGAGAGTTCCTTAGAACCAGCAGTGAAGCTCACGGAGATAAAAAACTCTAGATAATCCTTGTCTGCGCACTGCAGTGTGGGGAGTCCGTGACAAGTATAAAATCATAGTTTGAAATTCTAAAATGATAAATTCTTTTATCTGAACTTAGCTAAATATATCAGTACTTGGGATTTATGTATGAGGGTTTCAGAACACTTAATTGTACTCATATAGGAATCTATATGTAAACTAAGAAGTCATTGGAACAGAACCAGGGGATACTGCAAAAAGGTCTATGTCCCTAAAGGAAAAAAGTTAATAAATGGAAATTTACTAAAATTATAAACACCTGTTCTTAAAAAGGCTCCATTAGGAATATGAAAATAAAAGTTATTGACTGGGAAGGGGAAAAAAGTATATGTCAGCGTGGTAGCCTTTCAGTAGACCTTTTCAGTCGATGTGCTGAACAATTTATTGGGAAAATATGGACTTTATGAAGGATAATGTAACAGCAGGATTAGAGGAAGACTTATTAACAACCTGTGTGCCATAAACAGATGACACAACCTTGCATGCAGAAAACAAATAAAACTTGATGCACTCATTGATGAAGCTTGAAGACTATAGCCTTCCTGATGATTTTACTGACATGTTAAAAAACATTCTTACAACTGGATTTATAAACTATATCATGATAAATGAGAAAAGATTGAAACTTGCATTTCATTTTACGTGAATCCATCATCAATGCCCATGGAAACAGCAGTTATGGAATCAAGCAATATAAGAAATGATAATAGACAGTTCTGATGCAAAGGACCTGTTTACAGAGCAGGACTGTCATTTTGACAGTTAAGCACATTATTTTCAGTTGCCTAATGCCCCAGAGGAATGTCTATGTATGTTTCCTTGACTATGCAAAAACATTTGACTGTGTGGATCACAACAACTGTCACTGACTCTGAGAAGAATGGGAATCCCAGGACACTTGATTTTCTTATCCGAAACCTATATTTGGCAGTTGTCCGAACAGAGGAAGAGAACACTGCATCGTTCAAAATTGGGAAGGGTATACACCAAGGATGTGTCCAGTCTCCGTAACTTTTCAATCTATATGCAGAACAGTTTATCCGGGAAGCTGGGATCTATGAAGAGAAATGTGAACTCTCACCACTGAGGCGAATGGCAACATCATGATAGGTGGTGAAGAGATTGAGATTGTTAACAGCTTTAGTTTGTTTGGCTCTACACTCAACGCTCTTGGTACCAGTGGCCAGGAAATAAAAAGACATATTGCATTGGGAAAGTCTGCTGTCTGAGACCTCTCCAAAATAATGAAGAGCAATGATGTCAGTCTGGAGACTAATGTGCACCTGATACAGACTATGGTCTTTTTAATTACTTTGCATCAGAATGCTGGACGACGACTAGGAATGAAAGAAGGAGAATTGATTCCTTTGTGCTGGAGAAGAGTATTGAATATACCATGGAGAGGGTGAAGCCAGGCTGCTCTTTGAAGGCAAAGATTCTGAAGCTTAATCTGACATGACTTTGGACATGTTGCAAGTTGGGATCAGTCCTTGGAGAAGGATGTCATGCTTGGGAGGGTAGAGGGACAGCACAGGAGAGGAAGACCCTCGATGAGATTTATTGATTCATTGACTGGGGTAATGGGGGTAGGTGTATAAAAGACAGTAAGATTGGCACAGGATAGAGCACAGTTTAGGACTGTTGTACATAGGGTCTCTTACGAGTTACAGGTGACTTGACAGCACATAACAATAACAGTGCTTGTAAACTTTGAGAAAAGCTGATAGTTGTAGAAAGGCTTTAGGTCTATCTTAGTGTCACTGTGAGTTGTGCTTGACTTGATGGCAATCAGCAACAAGAACAACAATGCGTATGTAGGGAGCTTTGATTGCCTACTGGGTAGAGAGTTGAACTGCCAACCCAAAGTTACACAGTCTGAATCCACTAACTTCTCTAAGGGAGAAAATAGGCAATATCCTCGTGTGATTTGCAGCCTGTTGGAGAGTCGTTTATGAGTCCATTTTGACTAGATGGCATGTAACAACAATAGTACATATGAACGTTGGACAAAGACTTAGACCAAAGGAGTTTTGAAGCCTTTGATTCTGAAGAACATGTGAAGAATATGGTGTATACCATAGAGTGCTAAACAACAAACATTTTTCTTATAGGAAGTGCAGCGAGAAGGGTGTTAAACTTTGTCAAATGTCTTATGTATCAATTGAGAAGAACATGTGATTATTTTCCTTTGTCTTATTGATGTGATTGATTACAGTATTTTTTCTTAATGTTGAATCATCCTTGTGTAGGTATGGTATCCACTTGACCATGATGCATTATTTTTAAATATGATGTTGGATTCTATTGGCCAGGATATTGTTGAGTGTATTTTCACCTATATTTTTGAAGATATTTGTCTATATTATAATAGATGGAGAAGAGATTGAGATTGGTAACAATTTACGTTTTCTCTGTTCCACGATCAGCATTCTTGGCACCAGCAACCAGGAAATAAAAAGACAACTTGCATTAGGAAAATCTGTTGTCAAGGACCTTTCTGGAGTCCTGAAGAACAAGGATGTCAGTCTAGAGATTAAGGTGCAACTCATCCAGGCCATGATCTTTACAATTACTCTCTTTGCATCAGAGAGCTAGCCAATGACCAAGGATAACAGAAGAAGAGTTGATGCCTGTGAGTTGTGATGCTGAAGAAGAGTATTGAACATACTGTAACTGCCAAGAGAATTAATACTCTCCTGGAGAGAGTGAAACCAAGCTGCTCTTTGAAGGCAGGGGTTTTAAGACTTCATCTCACATACTTTGGGCATGTATTCACAAAAGACTAGTCTTTGGAGAAGTATATCATACTTGGAATGGTCAGAGGACAACACAGGAGAGGAAGACCCTGGACAAGTTGGATTGTCACAGTAATTGGGGTAATAAGGGTAGGTGTGTTAGAGACAGTGAGATTGGCGCAGGATAAAACAGAGTTCAGAGCTATTGTGAAAAGGGTTGCTATGAGTCATAGTTGACTTGATGGCACATAATAATAACAGCAACGATGTTTTTACCTGGTTTCGAGTTATTCTTGCTTCATAGAGTGAATCTGGAAATGTTCCATTTTAAAAATATTTTTAAATAGTTCATGTAGAATTGATGGTAGTTCTTCTGAGTATTTGGTAGGTAGTATTTGCCAATGAAACTGGGCTGAGAGTGTTCTTTTATAATGTGTTTGTTCAACTGATGTCTGTTTTTCTGTGAACTTTGATAAATGCTAATAATTGTAGAGGGGTTTCAGGCCTTTTGTTCATAGGGTCACTATGAGTCATGCTCGACTCGAAGGCAATCAACAACAACAACAATGTTAGTTTAGATAGGGTGAGAGTGTCTAAAAATTTGTCTCTTTCCTCTAGATTGGAAAATTTGTTGTAGTTCTTTACAGGATTCTGTTACTATTTTTAAATCTCATTTGGTTTTATTGTGGCATCATACATTTTATTTCTTATTCGTATTATTTATGTCTTCATTTGCTTTTCCTCTTGTTAGATTTGCCAGTGGCTTGTTGATATTATTAATCCATTCAATGAACCAACTCCTGCTCTTGTTGATACTATTGATTCTTTTTATCAATTGTTTTTCTGTTTTCTATTTTATATCTTTATCTTTATTATTTCCGTTCTTCTAGAAGTTACGGGGCTTGCTTACTAGTCTTCTTTCTAATTATTAGAGATATTAGGTTAATATGTTAGTTTCTTTTTGATATGTCTGTTTATTGCTATAAATTAGCCTTAGTGTACTATTTTTGTGTGTCCCAAAGCTTTTGGTATATTGTGTTTTCTCATTTGTTTCAAGAATTTTTTTTCACTTTTATTTATTACTCAGTAGTGTTCTGTTGTTGTTGTTTTTGTGCCATCGAGTCACCTGTGACTCATAGTGACCCTATGTACAACAGCCCTAAAACCTGCTCTATCCTGTACCAATCTCACGGTCTCCGACAACCTACCCTGATTACCCCAGTCACTGAATCAATCCACCTCATAGAGAGTCTTCCACTCCTGTACTGTCCCTCCACTTTCCCAAGCATGACGTCCCTCTCCAAAGATTGGTCCCTCCTTGCAACATGTCCAAAGTATGTCTGACGAAACTTCAGAATCCTGGCCTCTAAGGAACAGCCTGATTTAAACCTCTCTAGAACGAACCTGTTCATTTTCTTAGCTGTCCATGGTAGATTCAATATTCTTCTTCGACACCACAGCTCAAAGGCATCAATTCTCCTTTTATCCTCCCTAGTCATGGTCCAGCTCTCTGATGAATAACAAGTAATTGCAAAGACCATGGCCTGGATCAGACGCACCTTAGTCTCCAGACTGACATCACTGTTCTTCAGTACTGTGGAGTGCTGTCCCTAACAGCAGACTTTCCCATTGCGATATATTTCTGGATTTCCTGGCTGCTGGTACCAAGAGTGTTGACTGTGGAGCCAAGCAAACTAAAGCTGGTAACAGTCTCAATTTCTTCACTATCCATCATGATGCTGCCAGTTGGCCCAGTGATGAAAATCTTTGTTTTCTTGATATTGAGCCTCAATCCATATTGAAGGCTGATTTTCTTGACCTTTTGCAGCAAGTGCTTCAGGTCCTACTCAGTTTCAGCAAGAAGGGTTGTGTCATCTGCATAACGCAGATAGTTGATGAGTCTTCCTCCAATCCTGATGGCACATTTCTCCTCATACAGCCCAGCTTCCTGGATAATCTGTTCTGCATATAGATTGAAAAGGTATGGAGACAGGACACATCCCTGGTGTACATCCTTTCTAATTTTGAATCATGCAGTGTTTACTTGCTCTATTCTGACAACTGCTTCCTGGTCCCAGGATAGGTTTCACAGTAGCACAATCAAGTGTTCTAGGATTCCCAT